CATGCTGTTTTTTTTTAATGTGCGAGTACAGGTTTTGTTGTTGCGTTTGGCCCGAGTGCTCATTTCGGACGTGCGCGCCAGCACGATCAATAGGGGGCTGACCGTCAGAAACACCGACCCGTCGCATTTGGCGGTTCAGACAGTGAGACAGGCACGGTGTGGGGAGCCCTATCGGCCTGGCGCGTCGACGGTTGGACGCTCGGCGTCCTCGCTTCGGTAAAATGTAAGCACGGAGGAGGAATCGCCGACCCCTCGGCGATTTTCCAAGTCCCCGACCCTTTTCTTTCTCCTTGGACATTTTAAAGAAAATTCGTCCAGTGTGTTTTTTATATGACGTGCTCGCACATGAGTTCTAGTCTGTTATATGACGTGTGCTATTTCGTGTTTGCATTATACTCTCCCGATAATTATGTAGTACATTGATAGGTTACGATATTTGATGTTTAATTTTGCGTCCGCCAAGTAACTGCTACATTTATCAGTTAGAGGTTGCTGTAAAACATCTTTATCTTCGATAGCTTCCATTGAATGACGACTGGCAATGAGCGCCGGCCAGTAAAGCGGAGAATCCGGCGGATTGATTCCTACGTGTTCACGCGATCAACGGCGACTACTCACCGATGCTATTCTAATCATGATATATTATGTAGACACGATTAACATAATACTGTCGACAGCGACACTGACGGAGTTTGGCGGTCATTATAGAATAATGCTAATATGTTCGTGAATTACCTAGTAGCGTTTGTTTCAGCGCAGACACAGTGAAAGGTCTGTTCACTTTCAGAACGACACAGGAGGCTGTACGTCAGAGTATATGCGTTCACTGTTCTCGTCCCGTGGGGTAGTTGGCGAAATTCCACTTCTGTCGCAACAGTGAAGTCGTTCAACACACCCACTGGTGGCTGTTAAGTTACATACCCGCTGAGCCTGACCCCAAATGCCACATGACTACGGACTAGGACTCGCGTGCCACCATGCTTGATAAAAGACGAGGCTGTTGAATTTTGTTGTCGCTTTGCTTGTTAAAGGGCAGGGGACACCAGTACGCATTAACATGATTACTTATATAGAGCACTCTGATGCTGGTATTAGAATGATTATCACCAGCCTGTTGCCAGGTCTCGCGGGAAGCCAGGCTGTGGACTTTTGCTGAAACACTGCATGCACAAGGAGAACGTCGTAGTCGGCGATATACCACTTACTACATATTGCCATATCAACCTAGCAAATAAACAAATAGTTACATATTGACCTAATTCGTAGTTTGGAATGGCCAACGCACGAGCCGGACATAGTAGCCGCGGTGTACTATGTATCCTGGGCTTAAGTACAACGGAGACAAGGAATTCACCCTATCATTGACCTGTGGTGCTCTGGCCATACTTACTGATATGATGCGCTGCAATTAGGTCCACATTATAGCCAAATTAATTATCTTACATAGCTCATATGCTGCGTACAGCTTGGGGCGACTGTGAATTTTCCACGAGTGTAACGAAAGGATTTTTGTGATCACGGGCTAAATGCGTTACAGATGCTTTGCGTTACGACTCCTCGCGGGGAGCGATGGAGAAGGTCCTACGCGGTAGGTAGACGGTTGTCTGGCCGTGGGTTGAAGGTGCCCACTCTCTGCAGAAATAAGGGAGTTGGCTGTTTGTTGACCTCTCCGCGACTCACAGATGACGTGAGACGCATTTTTGCGTTTCGCTGACCACTGGTGAGAGTGGCAGTAACAACCGTTGCTGGATTCGCGACTCGCAGAACGTGACACTCGTTTTCCAGCTGCTCTCTTGCGACTCCCAGGTGGTGGAAGTCGGAAAAGTGCGTTGGACCGTAAGAAAAGTTGGTAGATTTTTCCGTTGGTGGACTTACAAGCGACCATAGACAGGGGTCTGCTAAGATGGCTATGTGTAACTGGCCCTGGGCACCGGCAGTGAATTCGGCCACTTAGGGTACCGTTGTTAGAGTTGTTACGGCGATTCCAGAAGGCAAGGTTTGCACGTGCGAGCCGATGAGGGATTCCGACGTGCCAACGTGTGATTCCGGCGACAACATATTAAGAGCCGACGAGGGACTCTGGCGCACCGATGAGTGATTCCAGCCACTGAGGAAAACAGGCCGATACGGAATTCCGGCGTGCGGATGAGATATTTCAGCATTATTCTGTCACCAGAGAAGGTGGGGGCTACGTAGTGATGCTGTGGTGAGCCTTGCGCTCGGTGGCTGCTATTTACTGGAGATAAATTCCGGGATATGCGTGGTATATGACTGCACGGCTCCGCTCATGATGGATCGTGTCTGGTCGCTGCATATAAGCTGCAGACAATGTGTAGTGACCACACTATGGGCCTCTCTTTAATATGACCGGTGACAAGCCCGCATGAGACGGTGTGAATGTATGAATGTTAGTCGCGGAATCAGTGAAGCGACATTTGCTGCCCATGTTAGGGCAAAAGCATCTGTTTCGTTAAAGCACATGAAATGTCGGTGCACCAATGTTTTTGCCACCATTTGCAGTCGTCCCTGTTAGTTGGTTTCTGAAAGGGAATTGCCTCCATGGTAATTTTCTGCAGATCGATACAGTGGGCCAACAACAGCCGTCATTAACACTCTGTATAATTAATCTAAGCAAATATGATTGTTGCCCGCAGACATATTACTCCCAAGGAGCTTTTTTTCTTGCGTGAGGACCATTATTCTTAAGTACAGCCACTATCTATTGAGAGGTATTCATAACACCATGCATTACACGTCATGTGCGAGCACGTTACTTCAAAAATCATGTCGGAACTTCATCTAAATTGAGTTATTCAAGGCGCTTGTTGCTTTTATGCAAGCTGGGCTTTGGGAGTCATTTGACTGCCGTTTGGTGTCAATGAGAAGTCTGCTGGGTGAGCGTGGTAAAATTTGCTGGAAATAATAAAGAGCCAGTATTCCTAGCTACACAGATGGCAAAAAACGGGTTCAAGGACACCAATGTCGATATGTGACTTGGAAAAACCTCCGCGCGTAACATTTACATGTCAGAATGGGCCATCTACAGCCAGAATGAGCCATCTGCAAATCAGAGAACAGTCAATAATGGCTTCTCCACTGGCCAGAATGAGCACTCCATAGTCAATAACGGGCTGTCGACAAGCCTAATTGGACCCCTATATATATGCTAGAGAGAACCTTCCACAGCCGGTAATAGGCCTTCCATATGTAGACTTTCCATTCCAATATGCAAGGATAGGTACTCTGTGGTAAAGAATAGGCCCTCTCTGTATCAAAATTGCCATCCTCAGTCAATAGTAGGCCCCCTGTAGGCCAGAATGCGTCCCTACCGGCGAGAATGAGCCATGTACAGGCCAGAATAGATCCTCGTCAGTCAACAATGGACTCTCTACAGGTCATAACGGATCATCAACAGGCAGGAGTGGGCCGTCCACGGTCAATAATGGGCCTTTCTCTAGGGCAGAATGGGCCCTCTACGGGCTCAGAAGTGTCTTCTTTTGGTCAGAATGGATCCTAAACAGGCCAGAATGAGCCCTCAGAATAAATTTTAGTCAGGTCAGAATAAATTTTATATGCCTTCGTGACCTTATTTAACTGAGAATCGGACCTTTATACACCAGAACAGGCCCTCCGCCGGCCCTCCAAGTTAGGGGAGGGGGCAAGGTTTTAAGTCGGGGGGGGGGGGGGAGGAGCCACTCCCACTGCCTATGCCCCCTGATTCTCGCGTTCTTGTTTCCTGGCGTGGCTCTGAGGCTCAGCCGCGTTCCTCCACTGATAGAATTGTTCCTTCCACATGCTCTGACACCACCTCTTCTCCTTTTCTTCAGCTCTTGGGCGAGGCTCGGGCGACCCGGTCGGCCGGCTGGCCACCGCTGGCACGCAGTGACGGCTGCAGTCCTCCCACTAGGCTCTTCCAAAAATATGTGTAGTTCATTCAGCGGCACCGCAGAGGCGCGCTGTGTGTCTGCGCTCGGCAAAGAATGTCACCGTGCCCACTGCAGTCGAGCGGTCTGGCGGCTCGCTCAGGCCGAGGGAGCTTGACTGCGTGCATATAAGGGCCCTGTTTTCGGAGTCAGGGCCGGTCTAAGCTGGGTATTCTATTTTTATGTCTCGACGGCCCATGTTTAAGTTTAAGAAGCCCTACGGGTGTCTTAGACCGCCAGATAGTAGCTTTCTCCCACGTCCAGGGGGAGGGAGGGGGGAGGGGGTTCTCCCTCCTCCTGGCCAGCCGCTGCTGTTGGGCTTGTCATCAGCATATAAGGGCAGCCTTATAATGCATGGTTCATTGTTGGCACGCCAATGACAATTCCAGGCGGTATCTATTCAAAATAGCCCATGGTGACCTTCCTATGCCAGTTGATATACGGTTTTCGCGATCAAGCCCGATTCAGAGCATGTCCTTGTGTTCTTTTCATTGTCATGATGAAATGTATTTGAACGTAAGTTTTGTGTGGTAAGGAGCAAAACTAAATATTTTACGAATGACGCAAGATGTTGTTTATGATTCACTGTAGAAATCCTGCAAAGAATGTAATGTTGTGGGTGATGATTATTGCAATGAATAACGGTAACGGTTCCACTGGTATATATATATATATATATATATATATATATATATATATATATATATACATATATATACACATATATATATATATATATATATATACAACTACATATATACCTACATGTGTCTTACTATATACATAACTATATACATATGTAACTATATAGATATAACTGTATATACGGATGTGAAGATGTTGTTGCTGTGTGCGAGACTGTATGTAAGACACTTTATTCATCATCTATGACCCCATTCAGGAGAAAATGCCACTTTAGCTCTGTTTGCAGCCTGGACCGCCCGCTTGCGCGCCCGGATGAGGGATTGGGTCCGGATGATAGCAGCGCGCGTGCTCCACTGGCGCCGGCCGTACCTGGCGCTGCTGGCGGCCGCCGGGCTCCTGCTCCTGCTGGACCTGTACGGCGTATTCGAACGCATGCGGGAGCTCGACTGCGAGACGCGCTTCACCTACCCGCTCGACATCGACGTCGGCTACTACGTGGAGCTGCTGCTGGGCGGCCAGCAGTCGCCGGTGACGCCGCTGAACACGCACCAGTTCCGCTACCTGTCGGAGGCACGGCACCGCTGCGCCGGTGAAGACCCGCTGCGTCTGCTGCTGGTGGTCAAGTCGGCCGTGGACCACTTCGATCAGCGCCGCGTCATCCGACGCAGCTGGGCGTCGCAGCGGCCCGACGTGCGCCACGTGTTCCTGCTGGGCACGCGCGCCGGCCAGCCGCGCCTGCAGACGGCCGTCGCACGCGAGGCCGATGAGTTCGGCGACGTGGTGCAGGCGCACTTCGAGGACTCGTACTTCAACAACACACTGAAGACGATGAGCGGCATGCGCTGGGCGGTGGAGCAGTGCGGCGGCGCAGAGCATGTGCTCTTCGCGGACGACGACATGTACGTGTCGGTGGTGAACGTGCTGCGGCTGGTGGCGGCGCCGCGCACCTACCCGGCCACTGGCGGCGAGCCGTCGCGGCCTGATGTGCCGCTGATGGCCGGCTACGTGTTCCACACGTGGCCGAGGCGGCAGCGCTTCAGCAAGTGGTACGTCTCGGTGGAGGAGTACCCGTTCAACCAGTGGCCGCCGTTTTGTCCGGCCGGCGCGTACCTGCTGTCGCGCTCCGCCCTGCGCCGCATCCTGTACACCAGCTACTACACCAAAATGTTCAGGTGCGGGCGACTGGGCTGCCGCTGCCAACAAGACCAGCGTGTGTCGCTGCTTGGCCAAATCGGGTATCTTAAGATTGTTTGTTGACTGAGATATAGCCGAGTGTGTCGTCATACATGATTTGAAGTGTTTCAGCTTGAAACGGTCCACACAGTGGTCTCTTTCCATGCCAAGGCTCGGCGTGATTGGGGCCAAAACGATGAGTTGTTGGCGCGTGTCAAAACGGTAAACGTGACCAAGATACAAATGAAGTTGGTGTGACGGCTTGGTTGGTCTCTGACTGGTCTCTGGCTTAACTGCTGAAGCTGGCTCATAAGCTTGTGGCGACTTGTACAACCGACGCACCAAAGTCGTGCGCAGCCGTCACGTTGTTGTAAGCGAACACGTTACCGCCCGCAGCCCGCTGACGTCAGCGTGGTGTCCCGCTGTCCGCAGGTTCGACGACATCTATATCGGCCTGGTGGCCAAAAAGGCCGGCATGGAACCGGTGCATACGGAGCACATCCACTTCTGGGAGCGGCCGTACGACGCGCATGGCTACCGGGACGTGGTCGCCTCCCACGGCTTCCACGACCCGGACCGGCTGCTGGCCGTCTGGCAGGAGCAGCACCGGCTGGGTCGGGCCTGAGGAGAGCCGGTGCTGTCGGGGATCCTGGAGATGTTGCGCCAAAGGCTGGTGAGAAGACACCGTTAATGACGCATCGGACGGGCCTGCAATATATACTGGTCTACACGTGCCCACTCTCAGATCACTGACACGTACATCCTGCTGTTCAGGATGCACGTGGGCCGGGCGCGTGGGACGCCCGCGTGGAGACCTTTATGTTGCGCAATAGCCGCGGTCACGCATCTTGCAAGGATCAATGCGTGGGCTGTGTGACCGGTCGCCTTTGTCGCTGTGCTGGAACGGCGTCACACTGCAACAGGTTTGGCTGACGTTCTCCCCGACATGGCTCATCCCGGGGCGGAGCTGACTACTATGGGTCATCTTTGATGTGTGTGGTTGGTCATGCAGATGCCCGGACGATATACTGCACACGATGGCGAGTTTTCAGCAGGACACGCTCACAACGCGGATGTTCAGCAGACGCGACAGCGGGTCTTGCTGTTTGCTACGCGGGTCCTGGAAGCGACTTTGAGAGGTGGTCCTGCCACCGCATCGGCAACGGTTGTGAGGCAGACCTTCCGCAGCGAAGGACTTGAACGCACCGGACGGTGTCATTTGGGCCGGCATTGTGCACAGCCGGTGGTCTGTTGCGGTGAGAAAGAGCGGCCACCGCGACAGGACCCTCGTGACGTCACCAGGTGTTTGGCGGTTCAGTGATCGAGACGAGCCTGCGGAGGCCTGGATGTGCTTCCTCGGCGTCGGGCATGTTGCCGCTGGTTCCCCATGATCGAGCAGCGTCTGCAGGTGGCGTGGGTAGATGGTGTGTGGTGCCTTGCTGTTCGTTGTTACTGATCATTGACGGGCGATGGCTGTAAGCGATGCTGGAGACCGTGAAGGGGGGGGGGGGGGGCGGTGTTCTGAGCCGTCGACTCGTTCCTTTGGGTCAAGTCCAGAATGGGGACATATAAACCGAAAATATCGGCTCGCAGCTTCGGAGTTCGTTATGGAGCGAGCAGACACGCTCCTTGAGGCAGGCTGAAGATGTCACTTTGTGGATTACTACGAGAGAGGCGTCAGCACTTGATTGCACGGGACGATGTGATGGTGGGGTATTGTTCAGGGATGCGAATGCACAAATGGAATGGGCTTGGAAGACAATTTTGGCGGTCAACAGCCATGAATGACAGCCAGGGACCGATTCCACGGAATCTATTCGTGGGCAGATCCGGGGATGACGTTAAGATATTCGTATGTCGTCAAATCGTAAGTGGGAAACGACAGACGCACTGGTTAACAAGGTCGATTGACGTGTGCCGTCCGGGGTACCGAATAAATGGTGGTCATGGACGGCACGTGACGAAATGTTGGCCTTTTGTTCCTGAGGTACAGAAATGTAGCTCCGCGGAATCTGTCAATGGATGGACGTTTCGTATGATCCGCAATCTACCATCACTGAATTGAAGGTAAAGTCGGTGGATAACCCGGACCTGGAACGGGTTGGGAGCTTAAAGAGGCAGACGCGTTGTGTGAGTCGGACATGTCTTGGACGTTCAGGACAAGGTGCTGGAATGGGAGCGACGTGTGCTGTTGGATGCTGGCTGTTCGCGGTGGGGCGATTCCGACCTGTAATCCTGGCATTGGTGAGGTGAGTTTGAGCGGTGGCGCTGCGGTGGTGGCGTGAAGTGCTGAGTAGTGGGTGTGGGTGCTGAGTAGTTGTAGTGTGGCAGCGGAGCTCAGTAGCCGTTGTGGTGTGGCGGTGGAGCTGAGTAGCCGTTGTGGTGTGGCGGTGGAGCTGAGCAGTTGTTGTAGTGTGGCCGTGGAGCTCATTAACGCTTCTGTTCTTGGTACTGCAAGTATGGCTGGCGGCTGGAGTTGCCACGATATGGCGGTCGGCCGCGGCCCCTATCGGCGTTGAATGTAGGTGCTCCTGTGTTTAGCTCAACCCTGCGAAACATGCCTGAATGTCCTGTATTGTGTCTGAAGGACACTTGTGTGCTGTCGCGACGGGTTTGTTTAACTGCAAGTTCCACGAGTAACAGGGAAACATCCATTTCCTGTGTCCGTGCTAAGGTAACTGCGGTTTGAAAAGCGGACGGATTTTGAGTTAACATCAATCGTAGATTGGCACTAAGCCCTTAAAAAACTGGTACAGATAGTGGTTTGTTTCGACATTTGGCATTATTTATGGCATCACATTCGCCAAGTGCCTTGGCCTTGCTGCGGACGTGGAATACATCCGCATCGACCGACTGTGATGGGTGTTGCGCGCTGGTCACCAGATCTTGCAAGCCGGTGGATACCGGGTGGTCTGTGTGTACGGCGGCAATTAAAGGGTTGGCGAATTCTTCAAAGCTTGGTGCGTGGTTAAAGTCATGCGGGTCTCAAGCCAGTTCCAACGCGTTGCCTTTTAATTTCGACCTTGCAGCTTTGAGGGCAACGACGTTGGACCATGAGCCGAGAGCTTTCTCTTTGCGAATCTCCTCAAAAAGTCTTCCAAGGATATGAGCCGTCAGATGTCGGAACAAAAGTGGCGATCTGATGTGTGCTCAGAGTGGCGGGAAGTGGTTATGGTGCGGGCGGAGCGTGGGGCGGTGGGCAGGGTGGGGCAGGGGAGGCTACTCTAGTAGAGTAGCAACGATGTCACAAAGTTCGGAGTCTCGAAAAAAATACAGAGTACTTGGATTTTGCGAAAAAAAGGAGCATAGTAACACGGGCAGCGTTCTCAAGCAAGCATGAATGACTTACCTTACCGACGCTGCCGCCAGTTGTGGGCAAGGATTTTGGAGATATTGCACCAAAAGGCTGGTGAGAAGACACTGGTTACTTTGCATCGGACACGTTTGCAAGATATATTGGTCCACACGTGCTCACCCTCTGATCCATGATGCCTACATCCTGCGCATCAGTGGTCATGTCAAAGGTATGCGTTATCGGGTAGTATGGGGAGTGATGCTTTTCTCGCGGAGAGTTGGCATGCCCTTATCACGTTGCTGACTGAAAATTACTTTCACAGTTGCAGCCTGCTTACCGTTGAATCAACATCACAATATTTGTTTGGTTATTAATGTAAGAAACAAAAGGACTTGAGAATCAACCAGATCCGCTTCAGGGGTCCTGGTTTGCGTCTCTCTCGAACTCGGGAACAGTGATGGCCGCGGATTGATTTTGATACGCGTGGCATGTTGACCGCGGCGCGGAGTTCATGCTCATTTCATGCTTCGTGTTCTCCAGCCTTTTCGTGTTCTCCAGCTTAAGGCAGTCCCAAAACCGGAACAATTTGACTTTGCATGAGATCGGAACGCATGAAAAAAATCGGTGTTCCTAAAACTGCAGTTTTTCGACTTCGCATTAAATCCAGAGCTACAAAATCGGTGTTTGACCGTATTTGAACCAACTTCTCATAACTCAGCCAACCGAACATGATGACTTTTCTTCAGCTGAGCTATTATCAAAATAGCCTCACTGTGTCTCCACTTCTAGATGGGACATTTTTGGTAAACTTGCTCACTATGTTCTCCTTCCTTGAACAACAATTCTTATTGTTGTTCCCTCTTTGCGGAGAACATTTCTCATTTTCCGCAAAAACTCCTGGGACTACAAGCGTTTTACTTATTGAATGATTGAGCGACATGATGCCAGTCGTTGAAATGCTTTAAGCTGACAGACTTTTCGTTTATCCCATCCTCTGCCTGGGTGCAACACATGACTTCAAATACCGTCTCAAAAAAACACCGTCACATATATGCAGGACTGACCTTAACACTGCTGGTAGTGCGAACTCCAATACCCTTGAGCGTTTCTATCTGTAAGGAGCAGCCATCTCTATGTGCTCGCTACCTCCGACTGGTCCATGCTGTCACAAACGAGGATACAAGCCATCGTCATTGCCGTCTATACGCATTCCATGTTCTCGTCAGACCTCAGCGGTTCAATGCTGTCACAAAATAAACAGGTGGGCTAAGCTCCTTCCGGTCCAAATGCATTAAGCCCTGCACTGACATGCTACTCTGTCTCGAAAAATAAACGATGTTTAAATATGAGCCCACAAAATGGATGCGCATTCCACATTATGGGGCAGGCGCGTGTAACGCCGTCTCATTCCCGATGTTCGCTCAGGGATTTCCTCTCAGTACTAGGCCATGACTGTCGAAAGCCTCGAGTCGTCATCCACGCGCACGACCATGGGCCTTTTATCGAATTGCTTGAGCCACCAGCCACGAACTTCACAACATATTTGAGGCCTGGGTCGGCACAATTTCGAACTCCTCCAATTTCAGTCGGGTTGGCTAAATTATCACCGACACTTCACTGCCGGGCTTCAGATAAAGCATAACACACTATGGCCTAATGGAAGAGGCGTTCGTCGCGCTCACGACCAGACGGTTGACCTTACTGTGATGCTAATCTCTGCAGCTGCCGGGATGTCCAGCTCGGTCGGGCTGGACCCTGCTGGCATCACTGCAACATTGTGCAACGCTGACCGGCGCTGCATCTCAGGGCTTGGAGCTTCATCTGCGTCTCGTGCGTCGACATTAAGGAGGTATACATAGCAATACACCCCATTCGCACATTCTCCAGAGTTCCCATTCATCCCGGAATACGTTCTGACGCAGTGTCACTTCAGGCATATTAATCACACCACGATCGCCAGCACCCGACACACGCGAAGTGATTATTTTGCATCTGGGGATTAAAAATCGAACGCACCACCTATTGAATCGAAACAACCCTCCTTGGGCCTAAGACAGACGCCGTTCACCACGGACTCACACCGTTCATCACAAACTCACATCCTTCCACTACGGACCCACATCTTCCCACCACAACGAAATGTACAGACTGGGGTTTAGAACGGATCATACACACGGCTTTGAGCACACCTCATTCTCTGACCCAAACACGTCCCGGTCCTGCCCACACACCACACGATTGTGGGAAGGAACGGTCACACACGCTCATCTGTCATTGCACACAGGACAGACTGACTCCACGGCATCATAGGTACCCGCAGGCCCACCAAC